GAGAGAAAGTTAGAAGGAGAAGAACTGGTGTGTGGCTAGAGCCCTTTTAACACATAGGTCCTCAAGGACCATCAGTTTTTTCTGAACTTTGATTATTGGATCATCATCTTGTCTTTGTTTATGGAGAGAAGAAGGGAGGCTAAGACAGTGACCTCTTGGAGTGGGGAAAGTCAGAGGAAATGCCTTTCCCCATTAGTACCTCCTGGATGTGTGGTCAGAACTAAACGAGACAACTTAGAAGCTAGTCTACAGATTTCATTGGCTAAGGTGGTGCCAGTCTTGGGAGGACCTAGAGCTGATCTATTTATGGGCGATGACTTTAGCTCTGATCAGGAGCCACAGACACGAGTAACTAGGAGCCAGTCTATATTTTGTTTCTAGATAATGTGTAAAAGAACTTGGAATTAATGACTAGGGATAACTTTATGGAGGAAGTGGTCTTTAGAGGTCTGAATTTGAGAGTTGTGCTTTGGGCAGGCATTTTGGGCAGAGCAAATGGCTGGAGCAGAGGCATAGAGGCTGGAAAGTATGAAATGTGTGGCAAACAGTTTGTAAAGGTTCCCTCTAGATCTCTTTGAGCATGGGTCTGAGCCTGGCATGGTAGGTCAAGTTTTGGTGATGGTGGCCCAGTCAACGCCTTGTTTAGGAGTTGGGGCATATGAGTTTTTACTTTGGGGTTTATCTTAAAATCGTTCAGATTCTTTACCTACTGCCTGCTTAGCCTCCCTACCCCCCCTCCATATCTATATTTGTAATTTGCTAATGTTTAACTAGTTAGCATGTTTTCAGATGACTCAGTAGTGACCTTAATTATCATTTCCAAGAGGTGAGTTGGTTTGACTTCTATAATATACCTATAAAAAATCAAAAACAAAACCAAAAAACAAAATATTTTTATTGATAGCTTGAGTGAAAATTTCAAGGACATGTAAGGGAAAGCTAAGTATATGTTCTCATAGGTGAGAACCACAACCTCAAAAGTTTGGAGTCCTTAGAAGTCCTCCACGCACTAGCCCCCTCATTTTGCAAGTGGAGGAGAGGAGATGAAATGTCTCATGATAAAAATTTCATAGATTTGGGAGCCCAGGTCTCCTGACTCTGGCTTTTTTATCACTATACTGTTGGAAAAAGGTAGCCTTGTAAGTAATATTTTGGATGCTGAAATTGGATAATTTGAGGTTGAATCTTGGCTCTCACCTACATACCCACTTGTTCAGATACCCACTTGTTGCTTTTGGGAAAGGTATCAAGCCTTAGTTTGCTTAGCTACAAAATGGGACAAAAAGGCCAAATAGGAAAACATATTATTAGCAGCTGCAGTAAACAAGAAAATGAAGTATATCCTCTGTTTTTTCTCTTGTATCACGAGCAGCCCTATGTGTAGGCAGTCACTTTCATGGCATTGTATGGTCAAAGTTGTCTACCTCCTCACCCTGATCTGCCACCATGCATTGAGTACTTCCATATCTGCTTCTTCTTTTTTTATAATAGAGAGAATTTTGCCATAGGGTGCATTCACTCATCAGAGAGACAGAAAGCGAGAAATTACCCCTCAGGGGGATGACCATGTTGCAATTCCTTCTCCTTCATTCTCCTCCCGGGATCTTGGGCATGCACACACATGTGCTTGGTGTGAGTTTCAAACCACCAGATCTGTGACTCAAACCATGGTTGACCATGTGGGAGTCCAGTGATGTAACCATTATGTCATCTTCTGGTCCCCATACTTGCTTCTTTACGGGGACAAAATACCCCGAATTGTTGTTAAATGGGTGAGTTTCCAAGAAGGGAATCTCACATAAGATCATGATGTTCATTAGACCAAGCCTGAATATCCTCTTATCTTGAACTAGTTGACTGATGGAAGTACCGGAAGGGTGATGTAAATTCCTACTTGGGAAGGTACCCATGGACCCATTGGGTAAAAGCACCTGTTGAGAGGTACCTCAGGGTTTCCATTTCCTTCTTTCCTTTCTTTTTAAGTTACTAATGTAGGCCACAAAATAGTAGTGAATTGTACTAAGTGGCATATAGCCCACTGTAGAGTGTGGCCTTTATTCTCCAAATAGCTCAAGTTGGTAAAGGTCAGACTTTCCATTTTCAATATGGAGTGGATCTTACAAATAACTCTCTTCTGGCCATCAGGGGCAGGCTCATGTGATGATCCAGAGTAGCAGAGGTGACTCAACCTCTGACAAGTTCAATTTCTCACTCTGGGCCTCTGTGTCTTGCTGTTTAAAAGGAGGAGAGGCCTTAGCTAGACGCCTAGAAAATGCTAAGTTGCCGAGAGATCTTGTGTTCCCTTCTTGAAAGAGAACCCTCATTGTTCAACATCCCAGTCTGTTACAAGTGGGAAAATAGGTTCTTGCTTCTTTTTACACATTTGTCTCCTATATCTGATAAAAGGGACGACTGCAGGAGGAGGCCGGAAGGCAGCTAGGGACCGGATGACAGGAGTTTGTCTTCTCAACATTTTCTCAAGAGGCAGGTAGGACAGTGGTTAGGGAGCCTGATTCCATTTCAGTTTTGTCACTGGTGATGAAACCTTCAGAAAGACCACACCACACTATGTCCAGCTGGGTTGCTGCCCACACAAAAACTTCAGTAATTAGGAAAGATACTAGCACCTCAGGAGATCAGAATTTGCACCTGCATTGCCTAACATATCTCTTCTCGAGGAGGGGTTGGCCTGGAGGCCTTCTAGGAACTCCAAATTCTGAGTTCGTGGTTCTCACATGTGAGAACACACACACACACACACACACACACACACACACACACACAGGCACACTTTCGGTGGGCAAAAGAGGTATCTTTTTTCAAGACAGGATTGAGGGCTCAGAAGCAGCAGTTTGTGATGCTTCAGAATTCATTTCTGCCTCTGCAAGCAGGAGAAGAGAACTCCAAGAAATGGCCTTTTCCTGGGACAGCCCATCCTGCCCCTGCCCAGGCTGCCCTTTTGCAAACAGGGAATGATATATGGAATTCTGGAGGAAACCCATAGTCAAACATATCTGCCCGGACTCACCTGTGATGTAGCCTGGTGCTTTATGTGTCATTTTACTCTTTGGGCTAGTCTTTATCTTTGTAAGCATCCAAACAACCATGGAATGACTGCTGGTTAATCTCTGGCAGATGAGAGCTTTCTTTGGAGGATGTCAGAAGACCCTGATTCCAGTCACAATGTCACCTCTGAATAACCGGGTGACCCTGAGCATGTCTACTCACCTTTCACCTGGGTTTTAGCATTTGCAGGAAATGGTGACAGTTTTATGTGTGGAAATACCTCCTATCTCATTTTGTGGGAAATAGGCTAGAAGCAGGCTAGAAAGGGCTCCTGACAATGAGAATATAAAGGTTTCCTCCAGCTTTTGTCAAGTATCTGGTTAGCCTCCCTTGGCTGTTCTGGGATCTGAGGATGGTCTGAGGATTGGACCATATCCCAACCAGTCTTGGTCCCTGAGGTGCCTGAGGCTTACCTCCCCTCAGGCTTGACCTGTGAGCTATTGGTTCCTCTTACAGATTGACTGAGAGTCAGGGGGGAACACTGACAGTCTATGTAGCAATGTAGGATGGGCATAGAGGAATGATATGGAGTGGGTACTACATACTGGTCCTGGGGCTTTGTTTACAGAGCAAGCAACTCTGCTTCCTGGGGTAGGTGGGTGGAGGTGTTGATGGAGATCATAGGATATTAAAGCCTATCTCCCCCTATTCCTTAGTGTACCTCAGGGCCTGCATGAGGGAAAGGAGTGTGCTAGCTCTGGCTTGCTCCTGACATGTAGAAATGGCTACTGCCCTGGCATCTCATTAGGTATTTGCAGCTCTTTAATATCTACTTATTTAAAAAGGCAATTTAGAATTTCAAAAAGGCTTAAGGGGTCCATGATTTCTCCAAATAAAGCTGCTGTTCTCCTGCTCTCACACATGCCCCTTGCTATCTGCCCCCACTTACTATTTCTTTGACAGCAATGGACACAATATTGTTGATTGCTGCTGTATGCAAAGCACTAGGAATACAGCAGGGGACAGGATTCCAGGGTCCCTCCCTTATGGGATTTCCTACTGTGCATGTGTGAAGCAGAGAATCGAATAGCTGCACAAATAGTAAATCACAAGGCCTTAACTACACCAGAGGTCATTTCTACAGAATAACCAGCTTCCTTAAATAGCTTCTAGAATCACAGAATATTAGTCAGTTTAGTACCCACCTCGAGAGTTTGAGGAAACTGGGATGAACTTCAGTTCAAGGTTAAAGCCTGGTAAAAAGATTTGTCTAGAGACACTGGAAAACCCCCTGCAGACTTGAATTTGAAACCTGGCCTCCTATTCTAGTTCTGTTCCCCTCAGTTCTGACTTCCCTGCACTGCTGCAGGAAGAGCCCTCAGGTGCGGCACCTCCTCCATGGATACTAGGTGGCACTAGTACCCCGTCAAACAGAAAGGCTCCCATACTCCTGGGTGAAAATGCTGGAATCCTCACTGTGGGGTGTCCTAAGTGTTGCCTGGGCAGCACTCCTCTGTCTCCTCCAAAGCCTGCCTGGTGGGAGCATTGGCTCACCTCCTTTGTCAGTGGAATCTTGTCTGGGTACTGGGGCCCCTGAGCAAGAGTCTGTCTCTTCTTTGGTTATCTGGGAGGATTTGCTTTGGTGTGATGGATTTTTCCTAGGGGCTCTCCATGTTCATGGGAAGGTCTGGTTGGGGCCCTGCTGAAGGAGGGAAATGTTAGGGCAAGGTAGGCACAAGTTTTGACTCTCCTGAGATGCTACGGTCTTTCTTTCTTACTGAAGTTTTTGTCTGGGGCGGCAATCCAGCCGGACATAGTGTGATGTGGTCTTTCTGTAGGTCTCGTGACAGAACTGAGATGGAATTCAGGCTCCCCAACCACTTTCCCACCTGCTTCTTGAGAAAATGTTGAGAAGACAAGACCCTCTGCCTTCTGATCCCTAGTTGTTCTCCGGCCTCATCTTGCAGTTATAGCTCCATGACTAAGAGTACAGCCTCCTTGTGGCAAATAGGTGGCATAGTGGTTAAGGCACTGGACTTCCACATGGTTGACTGTGGTGTGAGTCCTGGATTTGGCAGCTTGGAACTCATGCCGGGTGCATGTGAGTGCGTGCCCATGATCCTGACAGAATGGAGAAGGGATTGCGGTGTGGCCATCTCCCCTGGGGAGGGGGTGCTTTCTCACTTTCTGTCTCTCTGTTTCTCCAGTGAGCACACATGCCCTATAGTAAAAATCTCTCTCTCTCTCAAAAAAAAAAAAAAAATACAGCCTCTGATTTCAGACTCCTTGGGTTAGAATGCCACTTCAGCACTAGTTAATTGTGTGATTATGATGTGGTGTTTATGGAACTTCTCTTTGCCTCAGTCTCTCCCTTTATAAATGGAGATGTGACAGATTGCAGAGATTTCAAATTTCTTTACAGTTCTTCCCATGAAGAGCTAGAGTGTATTTCTGCACACCCTAAAAACCCATTGGCCCTGTGACTTTCCTCCGTAGAAGGTGGTGAACAGGGATGATGTGTGAGTTCTGAGATTAGGTTTCAGAAGATTCTGCAGCTTCTATTCTTGTTCCTAAAACATTGCTGCCATGTGGCAAAGCAGGGGTGACCTCCTTGAGGATAGGGGACCACAAAGAGAGAGAAGCCAGCCATCACAGCCAAGATCAAGACAGAGCAAGCTGTGATAACATGCGGAACAGAGGTGAGATATTCTGGTGAAGCTCAGCCCAAGTTGCCCACTCACAGCATTGTGAGCACAGAAATGAGAGCTATACTAATCTACCCAGCTTTGAGGTAGTTTGTTATGTAGCAGAAGGTAACCAAAAGAGGCAAGAATAATAGTCTTTACCATGTGACGTTGCCGTGAGGTTTTGTAGGATATTTGCTTAGACCAGTGCTTAGTATGTGGTGAGCTAATAGAGTTATTACAACTAACATAATCTAACACTATCTTGCAAGACTTCTACTTGCTTATTGGGTTCTAGTCACACTGACTGCCTTTCTTTTCCAGCATATAGCAAACTCTTTTCTCTTTTCAGGGATTTTGTATTTAATTCTTTGGAATGATACTTCTCCTTTGTCTTATTTTCATGGTTGAAATTTTAACTAACATGTTTCCTTCTTCAGGAGGCCTTCTCTGCCTCTCCTGAGAAATATCCCACTTTCATATTGTGTAATCACACATTTAATGACACCCTTGAATATTGTGTGTATTCCCTCTCTAGACTGTGAATTCTTTGCAGGCAGGAGCTGAGACCATTATCATTCCCCATGTTATCCTTGTTGCCTACTGCACGGTTGTGTAGAGGAGGCAGTCAATTGATACTGATCAAGTGAGTGAATGAAGAGAAGCACTTGATTCACTCTGGGTTTGAGACTGGTTTCAGGCTTCCAGAAAGAGGGGAGTGGCTAGGTTAGAGTTTCATACTGTGTGTGCTACTTGAAATTCTTACAATTCTTTGGGTGTGTTACACTCTCATTGAGTCAGATATGTTTTTGGTACTCTATGCCGTGTGTGTGCATGTGTGTGCGTGTGTGTGCATGTGTGTACGTGTGTGTGTATGTAGGTAAGTGAGTGTTCAACAAGGCTATGAGATTCTGTAAGATAGGGATTGAGTTCCTTACAGCCGCTAGCATATTGTTAGACTTAGAGTAGGGCCTTAACAAAAGCTTATTGGTGAATGGATGATGGGTGAAGAAGGAATGAACACAAAGTAAGATGGGTGGATGTATGAGTGGATGAGAGTACTCAGAACCAGTAATAATGATATTAAGAATAATAAAAACTTCAGATTGGCCAATAACTATGAAAAATTCTGTTTATTTTTTGAAAATAAAGTATGGCATATTTCCAGTCAATCCGTAAAAGATCATAATAGTATAAAATGTACTAAGCACATTCATTAGCATTATGTTATAAGGAAATAGTTGTTACAACTTTTCCCCCTCAATAAAATGGCACATTGGATGGTCACAGTTGGTTTGTTTACAGAGGGGCAAAGGTAGGTGGCCAGTCCTAGCAGTTGGCTGGTCCAATTCCTCAGGATTTTGGACTTTGTAAAAACGAGAAAGTCCCAGACAAACTGGACTGGTCAGAAATGAAAATTGAAACCAAAACCCAAACCAAAATCAAAACAAACAGTATGAGAATGTTGGATGTAGTTTGGCATTTAGATTGAGGGGTCAGAAAGTTTTTCAACTTCATTATCAGCTCTTACCTCTTTTCCCTTTAGCTCTGAAATAGAAGTACCTTGTGTTATTACTGAGAGTGTTACAGCTTTTAAATGTTTTTCACCATTGGGTTTATGTAATTTTGACTTGATTTTTATGCCAAGTCTGAGAGGTAGGTCAGTTCTAACCTAATTTTCAGGTGTGGCATTCTGCTTTAAGGCTTGTGGATCCTAGAGAGTACAGAGGCAGAGTAGATTCAAACACAGATCTCCTGAGGCTGCTGTTCTGTTCTTTTCTAAAACACTCTACTTGGATTTCTGGCTTTTTAACAGTGGTAATCAGTATCAATCATATGGGAAAAGGCCCCCGAGATCTAAGCTTGGACTTGATCTCCTCAGTTGGAAAAATTTCTATCATTACTGCTTTGTCTGGTGGCTTTACCTGTCCCTCTTGTAGCAATGTTCCTGTAGAATTCTCCTAAACACCCACCAGCTGGCTGGCGCTGGCATCATTATGTGGCAGGGACAGTAAGAGAGATTCAGTGCATTTGCTCTGGGATGATGCTCCAAATGGCCTGTGAAGTCCAGGTTTGTTAGGAAGATGGTCAGATCACCACTTGCCAACTTCATTGTTGAGTCTTTCTTTGGAATATTCACTGTGGAGTTATTTAAGTCATAGGCCAACTCTTGGCTAGTGGCTCAAGGACTCTTGCTCTAAAATGCTTGTTGCATCTATCCCTATACTTTGTGCCCTAATATGTAGGCATCAGCTTAAGGAGGGAGAGCTCAGTAAGCCTTGCTGATTTACTTTAAAAGACTAAAGATAAGCTGTCCATGACCACAGTAGACCTAGCTTCTCTGGCAGCCCATTAGAATTCTATCATCTACTCCTTTATTTGAATACTGTTTTGGGCTTTCTTTAAAAAATAGCTTTGGCATTTATGACCTAAAGGGGTAAAAAGTCTATGTAATCCCTCTTTTCCCCATGAAGTGAAACTTTCTCTGACTCCACTTAATACAACTGAAACACATGCCAGTGTCTTCCAGGCGGTGGTGCTCTGAGGTTGGGCTCAGAATTGCTGTACTAATGGGTCTATACTGGGTGCAGCTGTGATAAAATCTTTTCTTCTTAAGGTTTTCTTGTTTTAGAAGATGAATGAGATTGGTAATTTTATTTAAAAAATAAATAAAATAAATAGCTTAAAAAAAGAATGCTGCCTGTGTCTTCTTGGCAGACACTCCAACAGTGGGATGTAAGATGTGTTAGCTACAGCAGGGGTTACTGGTGTCCCTGTTCCCTAAGTTTGCCCATTCTCCCTGTGTCTTACACTAGTTGTGACCATTAAACCCTCACAAATGTCTATGGCATTGAGTTCAAATCCAGTTTTCATCTTTAGATGTTTTTATACTTTGGCTTAGAGACAAAAACAGATCCAACTTTCTGTGAGTAGAAGGGATGTTTATTTTGCCTGGGCCATCACTGAAATACTCAGATAACAAAGCCCTTGTGTTCACAGGTCTCTTCTGAAACATTACTTCTTGGCACCAAGGGATGAGGTGATGGTTTGGCAAGTTCATAGACTCCTAGACCTGAGATATTGCCTAGGTTGAATCGTGGAAATGTGACTTTTATATTAATTGGTAGGCTGTGCTTGTCTAGAAGTCATGAAAGTATCTTTATGATAAAAAAATTGAGAACTCAATGTAACAGAAACATGACCTCCTCTTAAAACTCTTGTTTACAAGCTGTGCTGCCTGTCAGCAGGACAAAACTAGAGATCTGCTAGTTTTCCAGTCCTTTTTTTTATCAACTCCCCTGGGGGCAGCACTTCCTCAAAGGAAGTCAAGCCTGAAAGGGAGAGAATAAGAAGACGGCACATTCATTTTTTTTCCTCTAGGGAGAGGAAGGGTCATGGGTTACTTGGGCCAGTGATTGGGTGGCCTCTTCTGAGTTTGTGCAGATTTATGCAGTCCTCTCATATGGTCAGTGAACTCTGGGATCGGCGATGGCTGCCTTTGCTTGAATGCCGGGATCTGTCAGTCTGTTCACTTGAATAGGGTCCAGGAGCCATTGACCTATTAGGCCCCAGAAGGTGCTCTGCAGTTGAGAGTTTTGCTGAGGAATCCCCTGAGCATAGATCATCCCTCATATGCTCCCTGCCACATCTCTGTTCATGGGACACCCAATCCTCAACCTGCTTCTGCATGGGAGGGCTGGAGCTCTTTGGCATTCTGGCTCTGCAGCTCTGTTCTGGCACAGGTGGTACTGGGTTGTGGGCAGGCTGAGCTACTCTAGGGACAGAGGCAGGCCTCTTCTGGTTTCTCCAACTCTGGATTTCCAGGTTTCTTTTGTCAGTAGGAAGTTTGTCAATTTTCTGAGCTTTTGAAATCAGAGACTTTCCATAGGTCCCTTGTAGAGACAGAAAAAAGTACCTGGTGAGAAATAACAGAATAAAAAATATTTTAATATTTTTGTTGAAATATACAATTTCAGCATTGAAAGGGGTCTTAGGATCCTGGCAAGATCCTCTCTACTGCACTCCTGACTGAAGGCTCTTAAATCCATGCCTTGGCACCTCTGGTACAGGGATGCTCAATAAGAGCAGCAGCAATGACAAACAATGAAATGTGAAAGCTGACATCTATTATATACTATTCTATTCAATTAGTGTTTTCCACATTATTAACTCATTTTATTCTCCCAAGGATCCATGCAGTTAGAACTTTTGTTTCCCTGTGTGTATGGATAAGACACTGAGGCACTAAGTGATTCAGTGATTTTTTTAAAAAAACACATAATGTGGTTGTGGAGTTACGGTCATAATCAAGCATTCTGGATCCAGAGGCCTGTCTCTTATCTACCATGCACAAGGCAGTCCATTCTATTTCAGGGCTTCTCTAATTTAGACAACTTTAATTGCTTTGTGATATTAACCCTATGGAATTTAATGAATTAAGTTATTTAAAAATACATGTTTCTTTCTTTTTTTTTTTTTTTCTTTTTAAAGAGAGAGATTTTTGCTCTATGGTGCATGCACTTGCTGGAGAGACAGAGAGAGACTGAAAGCGAGAAGTTACCCCCCAGGGGAGATTGCTATGCTGCAGTACCTTATCCTCCATTTTCCTCTCGGGATATTGAGCACACACATACACGTGCCTGGTGTGAGTTTTTAGCCGCCAGGTCCGGGACTTGAACTGTGGTTGACTACATGGGAGTCCAACAATGTTACCCTTATGCCATCTGCTGGTACCAAAATACATATTCTTTTCCTAAATCAATAGACTATGCTGACTTGAGAGTGTCACTGTCTCACTGTTTTCCAGATAAGGAAACTAAGACTCCAAGTGATGAGGTAGGATTCTCCAGGTCTGACAAGTTAATACATCTCTCTGTTGAGTAGCCTGTATTGGGTCTGGGACTGGGAGTCTCTATCTATGCCTAGAATATTCTTCCTGTTCAAAGTTTATGCAAAGGAAGGTGTGAGAAGGTAAATGCATCTATGTGGTACGTGGAGAAAACATATACCAGTTTGTGATACGGGGCAATTCACATGCTCACTCCAGGTGTCAGTTTCTTTATCTAAAAAGTAATTGGGGACAAAGGGTACCTAAGATCTTTTCAAATTGGTAGTCTCTCTTTTCTTTTCTTTTTATTTTTTAATTAAAAAATTTCCACTATGTCTAAAAGCTACAAGGTGACCCCATAGTGGCCAAGGAATGTCTGAAGACTGCAGTAGATCTCATGAAATCAAATAAAGTTTTCTCTATTTTTTTTCTCATCTCACCCAGTTGAGGTGTTAGAGACCATGTAAGTGTTTTAGGAAAAAAATTGTTTCCTTGCTTGGAAATTGAAATTTCCTTAGTTTGAACATTTATTTGAATATGGTGCTCCCAAAATACCAGCTACCTTCCCCATCCAGTTTTTTCAACAACTACTTTCAAATACCCAAATGGGCTAGGTGCCAAGGAATTAGTCTGTGAACAAGACAGAGAGGGTTCTTGCTATCCGGTAACATGTGAATGTATTGGGTTATTGGAAAAGTCATGATGTATTTTTCTGTTTTTTTTTTAATTTTTTATTTTGTGTAAAAATATGTCATGACTTTTCCAGCAACCCAATAATTATAGATGGAAGTGGCAATGAGAGTGTGCAACTGGGAGTGTTCAATTAGTAGGCTGGGAGACCTTTCTTGAGGAGATGTGAACTGGGAGATGAATAGGTAGTAGCCAGGCAGAGATGGTGAGAACCAAAACCCAGGCGCAGAGACTGATGTGTGGGCAGTGAGGATAAGAGTAGAGAAAAATAACCCAGAAGAGGTTGGCAGGACAGAGTAGGTAAGGGCTGTAGATCATGTTTCGATTTCATGCTTTGTCGTAAAGGCCTTGGGAGGCCCCTGGAGGGTTATAAATAGGTAACACAATCATACTTAGATACAGTGATAATGGACAAGAGTAAGACTCAATAGGAAACTACTGAAGTAATTTGGGGTGAAGGAGTCATATTTTATCCATAGTGGTGGCTGTAGCAATGGAAATAGCAAAATGATTTGAGAAAGAAGTGGCAGGTAGAACTGTCAGGACTTAGTGGCAAGTTAGATCTGGGCGTGAGGTAGCAGGTGATGTCAAGGATAACTCCCAGGGATCTGTCTTGGTCCTGAGTGGGGAATATTTGCTGCAAGGAACTTCAGAAGAGACTCAGGTGTCTGGGATGGTGGTGGTGATGGAGGGTGGAATTATGACTTAAATTACCAATGTGTCTCAGTTTCCTCAAACTTTAAATGCCCAGGGGAGGTGATGAATGTGTAGCAAGAAAGATATGTCCAGAATTCAGAAGAGAGGTCTGGGCTGGGAATTTGTAGTAGAGAATCATCTGTTGAAAGTGAATTTTAAATCCACAACGATGACTACTATGTTTTTGGGGAATATATAGCCAGAAGACAAGGGGACCTAGGACAAAGGCTTAGCAGATACTCTGTGAAGGGCAAGAGTCTGCAAATAAAACAAAGTAGGAGAAAAACCAAGAGTGTCTGAGGTTACCAAAGCCAAGGGAAAAATGTGTCTAGGGGCTGCACCTCTATTGAAACTAATTTAGAGGCTGATCGGCGTTAAGGGTAGCATATTATTTCTTTGTTTTATCTGTAAAATAATTTAAATGGATCTGTATTTTTCGTTTAATAGAATTTGTCCCGTTCTTTTGCATTAGTTGAGTAACTAGACTGAGATTAGTGAAATCATGGTTAGTAAGATAATTATCACAAATTTGAGTACAATCAATCTCCATTATAGCAAACATTCTATCATATATTGGGTTGTCAGAAAAGTAATGGTACATTTTTCTGTTTTTCTATGCAAAAGTGTGCATGACTTTTCTGACAACCCAATAGATTTTTAGAAACGAACAATAATTGTTCCAAGGTTACAAGTTAGCAATCCTTGGAACTATTAAAATAATCATCTCACTATCTGAGGAAGTCTCTTTGCCTTTCTTAGAAAACAGAATTAAAGAGAAATTAAACTTTATTATGATAATATAGAATAAGCAAAGATTTAACTTATGTGTTATGGTAACTAGCAAGCAAATATTTGCTTTTTCCATACTTCTCTCTCCTCTATTTAATAAGCTGTAAGGTGGAGTGCTTGTCCTTTTAAAACACCTGCGCCAACAATCTTTGCATACTCTTCAAGGGTCCTCTCAAATTGCACTTTAGTCTTATACATTCTTACTTCAAGTATGTTTTTTAGTTAAGGCAGAGATACAGGATGTGGGGCTTATTAATTTCTCTTTCTATATCCCAAAGAAGATACAGAATTGGAGAACTCCGTGCTTGGCCAGTGGTGATCACAACCATGTTTAATCTCAAAAGTGGGGGAAAATATTTGGCCCACATATTTGATGCCCCTTTTCAATCAGAGCATGATCTTAGTTGTCCCTTTCAGAGTCTTTCTTTCCAGAAGTTGGATATACAAAGGATAGTGGCAGGAAATAAGTCCCCTCAGGCTTGTGCTTATCCTTAATTGCTTCCCATTCTACATCCTCAGATGCTTCTATACTACTAGTCACTTTCACCTGTACTGTGGCCCAACTTCTGTCCAAATCATTCACTGGATTGTAGGCTTTTTTTTTTTTTTTTTTTATAAAGGGCACGGGGTGTTTCCA